ATGGGGGCAGTGACAGGAATCCTCATCCTCTTGGAAAGATTTGCTTCAGGGTCATTGGTGACACTGAGTTAATGTATAAGTCAGAGAATGGATTGTGAAGGGATTTCAATAATTGAGTCAAAATTATTAACATCTGATAACTATGGATTAGGATAAAATCTGCAAATTGTTATGCAATTTAAAGGAACAAGATTTCCATTTAGAAGGGTGTGCGTTATGTAGTGATATGAATTTTCTTTTGAGAGCTGCTCTGAGATTTCAAAATTCGAGGATACTATCTCTATTTAATTAATAAAAAAGGAAATTTTGTTTGTCAAGGCATCTGTAGAATATGATTGAGCAACTTAAATGTGCTTAAAAATCTTCCCTTAAAAAAAGTCTTCCCTTAATATTAAGGCTCTACAGTAGTAATATTCCAAGGAGATTATATTTAATCTAGTTACTGTATCCTGATAATTTGTCAATTCATTTAGGTAACTGTGTTGCTGACACTGTTTACAGTTTTCCAAGTCATAGCATTAGATATTCTATATGGAAAAAATATATAATTTCCTTCTATCAAACTGCCTGAAAGAAAGCCTTGTTTTTATTTTGTATAATATCTAGGATTATATACTTTTTACCTAGTATCTAGTTTGTTCTAGTAGCTTGAGTAAAGCTGAGTAGGTAAAATAGATGAACTCCAACAAAATGGTCTCCTGTGTGCTGTTAAACTGAGATTTATGTTTGAGATTTGTACCTGGTGAAAACTGAATGATTCAAGCAATCATTGTGCTTGCAATTGTTGTGAATCAAGTTCTGTGCAAATAATGAATTGTATTTCTATTGAGCAATATAAGAAATAGTAGTATTTTCATTTTTAGAAATAGCTAGTTTTTCCTAGCTGGCAGGAAAATCTTGGGTTGCTGATTTTACATATTTTAAAGCCCACATCCTTTTGGGGTTTACAGATGGGGAAAAGTTAGAATTAACTTGTAAGATTGTGGCTTCATATTACCAAAAATTATCAGTTGGTTCTAATAATTTTCCAGCAGAAGAATCAGGGAAATCATTTCCTCAATGTCTTTTGAAATGATGCTGTGTGGTAGTTTTCCTAGTTAGATGCAACCTTTCCATTGCTTTTGAATAAACAGTCTATAAATAAAAGTAGTGATTTGTTAGCTTGTTAAAAAAATTTATTTTTGGTGGTAAAAGTTGTCCTAACTGAACTCATAAAAATTCTGAATATATATATATATTTTTTAAAGATCATGAGATCCTGCTTTCATGGCCTGTGTATTCATACAAAAAGTCAAGATCCAGGGAGCTTTTGCCCCTCTGCTCTATGGAAGGTTTCTATCCTCCCTAAGCTTACCTTAGGACACACCAGCATTGCTGTTTGATGGGTATGCCTTTGCAAATTCTGAGTCTTTTAAATGACTTTCTGTTGGTAGTTCTTCATCTTAAAAAAATCAGTCCTCTTTGAAAAAACTGATTATTAGTCCCCAGAAAAATGCAGGTGTGCAAATACTTGCAAAACTCCCCAAATAGACTGTTGAGGGTTCACAGACCTCCGAAGCCCATCTACATAGATGTTGGGAGGTGCTGTAAGAACAGAATTCCCATTTTAGAAATAAAGATGTGAAATAGTGGCAAAGAAATCATTGTTAGAGCAAAACTGAAATTATATCCTGCACTTGCATTCATTCAACATGTACTTATTGAGCACCTACTGTGTTCTGAAGATTCCAGTAGTGAACAGGGCAGAGAAGGGCCTTGAGAGTTATGTTCTGGGGGATGTTGATTGTTAGGGCGAAACAATGTGGTCTTGACCCTCCGGATTATTTCTTCCTGGTGCTTGTAAATCTAACCAGTCTTTTTCTTCAGAAACCAGTGATGATTTTGATTAATTGACCTGACAGTGCATGGCACATCATATTTACTTGGAAGAATTTAATAACCCCTGAGACTCCCAAAGGAAACATGAAAATTTCCACATACTATTATCCTAATGGGATCATAGTAAGAGAATGTGCAAGCAAAGATTTAGGGTTCTCTCGGGCAGAGGAAGCTTTTGGTCAATTCTCAAATGCTATTGAGTTTTTCACTTGAATTCACCTTGGCAAGAAAAGCCAGGGCAACAGAAACTGGATGCATGGAAGGGAAATCTTTTATGGAAATTTATTGTCTTCTTAGGAGAATAAGTAATTTCTTTCTTAGGTAGCAGATTATTTATAATTTCAAAATACATATGTGGAAGTGACTTTTTTTGGTAAATTGTGGCAGGAAGTATTTTATACACTTGAAAATGTTGAGAGGGAAAAGTATTAATCTGGAATATTCTATAGGGGTGGTTCTCAAAGTGTCATACCGAATCAGAAGAATCGGCAGTAATCACCTGGTAACATGTTAGACATGCAAATTCTTGGGGCTCACCCCAAACCTACTGAATGGAAACCATGGAAGGGGAGCTGCCAATGATCTGTTTTACCAAGTCCCCCAGGGGATTCCAGTGCTCTGAAAGTTTGAGAAATACTGCTCTAAAATTATGAACAAATTATTGATCATAATTTAGGTTAGCTCACATTTATCAAACATATATGCATATAAGTTATATTCAGAGCTTTTAAAATTTATGATATAATGTGTGGCATATTTCTTAGCATGTTAATAGCCCTTTAAAAATATTCCCAGAGTTAAAGAAAGTCTCTTTTAATGTTTTAAGTTTTTACTAAACTATCCTAAAATAAGATTTATATTAAATGAAACCATTTTATATTGCATTAGATAATAATTGAAAAACCAAGCATAATATCTAACATACAGTAGATATATATCATACTTCTCCTTTACTTTCATGTACAAATATTTGTTTTTAGGTATATTTTCCTTGATTTATCATGTATATTATTAATTTATTCTATTGCCTCTTCATTTCACAGTGTTTAAATGTCAAAAATGTAGAAATATTAAAATATTAGAAAACTTAAAATAGTATTTATATTAATAAATTCATTTTGGATGTGCACCCTTTTGGGGAAGCTTATAATTTATACTGAAATATAATGAAATTTTAGATTTTTGTAGGGCAGAGTTAAGTTTGAGCCTAAGATCAAAGAGAATTAAAAATATGGGACACATATATCTTTACATTGCTTCTAGCGCCACCTGCTTTTCCCCGGGTCCTACCAGCCTGAGGGTACAAATGAGTTACCTTGACCTTGACATTAATAATCTACAATTCTGGCTCACCTTCCCCATTTGCTGACGTCTATCTGAGCCCCTTCTCTAGAGGATCCCCCAGTTATTTGTGGGGAGTTTCCCGAGTACATTTGCATATGCTCAAGGGCCAGGCTACTCTGGCTTCTCCTCTAGGATCAGGGTCTTTGGCCTACTAGCCTGGTGAGGGCCCCGTCTCAATGTCTGGGGCCTCTGGAGAGGGGTGCTGTCCTGCCCAGAACCCTGGTCTGATGCATCCTCAAACCTCCATAGGCCAACAGGTGCTCTATCTCTGTTGCAATTCACTCTGTTGTGGGAGTACTGGCAGAAACAGGGAGAATGCTCATTCCACTCTGTCCCCTTCAAACCCTGGCCTGGAAGTGGCACCACTTGTGCCCAAACTTTGCTAATCACAGCTTCTTTTTATAAGGATTCAGACCCTGTTCTTCTGATTTTTGTTTGTTTGTTTGTTTTTTGAGACAGAATCTCGCTTTGTTGCTCAGGCTAGAATGAATGCCGTGGCGTCAGCCTAGCTCACAGCAACCTCAAACTTCTGGGCTCAAGCAATCCTGCTGCCTCAGCCTCCTGAGTAGCTGGGACTACAGTCATGCGCCACCATGGCCGGCTAAGTTTTTCTATATATCTTAGTTGGCCAATTAATTTCTTTCTATTTATAGTAGAGACGGAGTCTTGCTCTTGCTCAGGCTGGTTTTGAACTCCTGATCTGGAGCAATCCACCTGCTTCAGCCTCCCCGAGTGCTAGGATTACAGGCGTGAGCCACCGCGTGCCCGGCCCAGACCCTGTTTTTATAGGAGCAGACACTATATTGTACCATTAATGCAAGTTCTGTCTAATTTCCCAGCTCCCCCTTCTCTTTCTTAGTACCTCCACACTAAAATATGAAGGCCCTTTCCCCCTGTGTATACAGGCAAATGCAAGCTTTGTGGGGAGAGGGCCACAGAAGGGCTGGCTTCAAGGGTATTGTTCTTGGGTTAATGCTCTCCTATTGTCGTCTTGAAATTTATAATAATTCTTGAACAAGGAGCCCCATGTTTTCTTTTTGCACTGGGCTCCTCAAACCAAGCAGCTGCCCCGTGCAGCTGCCCACCCATTCAGCAGAGACCCAGACTCTAAACTTCAGTTTAGGGACAGTTCACTAGACGACGCCTGCTTCTTTTTGGGCCAGTTCTTTAGATTTATATTAATAGTACATAGATTCTTCTTAAAGAATTTCCCAAGATCTGGTAATGAGATACTAAATTTAAACATGATTTTTCTTATAGGAGCAGTAGAGTCTATAAATATATAGGAATCCTACCATAGTTTACTATTATTGGCTATTTAGATACTAAGTCAATTTTGGAATTTTTTTTTTTTAAATCACATTTGTTAACAGATTTCCCAGTGTAAAGGCTTGTGAAAATGTATCAGGAATGAAATTAAATGTGATTCATCCATTAGACATGAATGGAGTACCCATTAAGTGGTTAAGTACAGGGCCATAAAAACGGAGTAAGGCCTGTCCCTGTTTTCTAAGCGCTCATAATCGAACCTATACCGATAAAGATGCCAAGAGCAATTATTTCTGCCTGGGGGGGGCAGGGAGACAGGGAAGGGGAAGAGGTTAAATATCATTTAATAATGTAGTACTGCATGAGGGGCTTGGTGCCCACGGGAAGACATTGGGAATGTACTATAGACTAAGATTTGAATTATTCTGGCTTGGCCAGACTTGTTTTTTTGATGCACATTTATTTTATTTTATTCATATTTTATCATTTTTTTCCTCCTATGCCTCTAGCCTCAGTGCCACAATCCGACGAAGGCTCTGACATCGACTCTGAACCAGATTTACCGCTGAAGAGAAAACAGCGCAGAAGCCGAACCACCTTCACTGCAGAACAGCTTGAGGAACTAGAACGTGCTTTTGAGAGAACCCACTACCCTGATATTTATACCAGAGAGGAGCTGGCCCAGAGGGCGAAGCTTACTGAGGCCCGAGTACAGGTACCGATGCCCAAGCTCTCATGGCCTACTTAAACCCAGCCAGGAAACAAAAAGTATCTTCCCATCTAAAACATATTTTCAACCAAGAAAATAAACACATTAGCAATGGCCCTTTAATGTAGATGCACATTTTTAGACTTTGGTTATTATTTCTAAGAGAATGTGGTAACATTTATGACACACAGAGGTGTGTCAATTCATTTAAGGAATCTTTATTGTGAACCTTATTGTGTGACTTTGGGGGTAACACACAGATAATAGCAAATAAATTTTGAGTGTTTACTCTGTGCCAGGCACTGTTTTAAGAGATTTACACGAAGTAATCCATTTAATTATCATTAAAACCCCAGGTTGGTACTATAATTACTATCCCCAATTTACAGATGAGGAAACGGAGACTTGGATTATTTAAGTAACTACTCAAGGTTGCATAGCTGCATACCTATAGAGATAATTGGATCCCATACACTTCATCTCTGTGACCTCACAATTATGAAAAATGTTCAAAGGTAAACAAGGTAACATTCCTTCCTTTAAGGATTTTATAGTCTGGAAACATTTCTTGTAATTATATTGTTTTAAGAACATGTTGAATTATCTTTGAACCCTTAGATGTGCCCAGAACCTTTTGGAAAAGGCGAATTAGATGTACTATGTTTCTATAGAGTGTAGAATAATGCTTTCATCATTAATGATAAACTCTTCCCTCGGCACTGTTTGAAAGATTGCACATGTTTTAGGGTATACTGGAACTCCTAACTGCCCCAGAAGTTGTTACCTTATCTGGAAATATTGTGTGTTAGACTCAGTGACTTGACTTTCATAGTGAAAATCAGGCTGGGGACTCAACAGTGAGCTGGTCAGTTATCATGGTCCCTAGATTAATCAACATTTTTCATATATGCAGCTAATTAACTCTTCTATTACTAGAAGAAATTCTATTATTAGAATTTTACAGAGATAGCATCTTCTAGGCCACAGAACCTAGTCAGAGAGATTGTTTTATTTAACATTCCATATGATCATCATAGTGCTGGAAAAGTCAAGGCATGCTAAAATGAATTAAGACAGTTCCTTCAAGGAGCTGCAGTCTAACATGGGTAACAAAGTAAACATACAAATAATTTAGAAACAAAGCAGATGTAAGTGCCAAAAGAGAGAGATAGAGAGAGAGAAATGTAGTGGGCATTGAGAAGAAGAAAGGATGAGATCTTGAAGTCAATAAGAGAGGTGCATGCAAAGGGCAGATCTAAGACAGACTTTGTAGGCTAGAAAGGTATTCGTTGGACAAGGTAGGTCAGGAGCGTATGTTAGTAATAGGGAATTATATGAACACAGGCACAGAGAGCTGGGAGTGCATGGGTTATGTATAAGATGACTTTTCATTTTTACTCCAGGCATATCGAGACAACAGTGAATAGTCCAGTTTGGGTAGAGTGTAAGGAATGGTAGGGTGGTGGAAGTGAGGCTGAGGACATCCTGTGGACGGCTTGGGTTTCAGGCTAGTGAGCTCACACTGGATATGACAGGCAATGGGGACTAAGGTGTGAAATAGGTAGTAGCAGTGGGAATTACAAGGAAGGGATGGTGGGGGAAGGTATTCAGAGGCAGAATGTAGGCAAATGGCTGTGTAAACTGGAGGTGGGGAGGAGGGTGAATGAAGGGAAGAGTCACATATATACTAAGGTTCACGGTTGATGTATTAGAGTTGGAGCTATTGAACCCATTTCATTGGGATACAGAGTGTTCCTCCCCCTGCATAGTATGGAAATGACTTCCTTTAACCGCAAATCATGATACTATATAAATGTGCATATTAATAAATCATAAATATATTATTACATTATTAATTTTAACAAACTAATACACATTACTGTATTATTGTTTACAATGATGATAATATATATTCATATGTTTATTATATTCAATATATGCATTTTATATATTATGTATATATGTAATACTAACTATATATTATTCATATATTATCATATTGCATTCAATATACACATTACATATATGTGTATGTGTAATAATATAATATGTTGTTAATATTATAAATATTAATAATGTACTAATATATTTGTGACATATTACTATACACGTTAATATATTAACACAATTTGTGGTTAATAGAAGTCATTTCTGTACTGGGCAGTGCAGAGGAACACCTTGGATCCCAATGAAATGGGTGGAGGAATTCAATAATATTATAATCTTGTAGTATAGTATTATATATAACAATGTTATAAATAAGATGTACATGAAATCTATTTTGCTTTTGTTATAGTTCCGAGATTACCTGGTTTCCATGTGAAGTGAGGGCCAATCGCTCTTCCCTTGAGTGTCCACTGTTGCAGGGTCTGGTCCTTACATACTCCGTGGCTGGCCAAGGCCACATATTAGATCCGTTCTTAACACAGGTCGAATATCAGCTCTAAACTGAACGAGAGTCAAAAAAATAAACATTTATTTTAGGGAGATCAGAAAAAGAAGGTGATGAAACACTGAAAAGAGTTCAGTGCTCTGCTGCATCCTTGCCTTTGTCAAAACCAAGGATGAGGGCAGAATAAATTCCAAATCTGCGTAGCTTGTACAGTGCCCGGTATTCTCATCTGGCTCAGTGAATGCCGAAGGATAAGAATGGCCCATTAACTTTCAGAGGACATGGGATCAAACCAATAAAGAGAGGTTCATATTTTTCTATACAGTGACCTCCTCTCCAAAGCAGGGTCCTCATTAACGTAACAGCTGTCTTAATGTGGCTTTAACCCGGTGACTCTTTACATTCCTTATGGCTTCTTTAGTTCCCTTGAGACACATCATGTCCTGCACCAGGGCTGTGATCTACAGCCTAACAAATTCCCTAGAACACCCAGCATATGGATCTTTTACTTAACTCAGCAGGAAAAAGAAGGGAGTAGTTAATCACTGATTAAAATGCCAGAAGAAAATCCTTTAGTTTTTAGAAGGATCTGGGAAAGCAGTAGCAAAGTCAACTCAGTTTGAGTGATAGCCAAAAAGTGTGAGTTAGTTTAATTTGGGGCATCTGGGAAAACCAAACACCAAACTCTAGAAAACTCCAAACCATGTCTCCATTCCATTTTTTTTTTCCCTGAGCAAAACTATTTCTAGACTCTTTTGGATAGTGATGAGACTAAATCTATAACAACTGTTAGACCTTTGCCGATGTTTCTTAAAAATTCATTTGGACAGTAGCTATGTCGAGTTATCATAGCCAAATCTGAATACATGAACTAAGAATTGTTGTACACCAAAGACTATTTGTCTAATAACATAGCCAAATCTGAATACATGAACTAAGAATTGTTGTACACCAAAGACTATTTGTCTAATAACAACAACACTACAGGTGAAAAAAAAGACTATTTGCCTAAATCATCTAAGTAGCTGTTATTATGCAAATAACGAAAAGCATTAAAGTTTTGCAAGAAATAATTACTTGCAAATATTTATGATGTGAAAAAGTTTTAGTAAATATTCCATCTAAGAATCCTGTGAATTAGGAAAGTATCATTCTCTTTTACAACCAAGATAATGGAAGACAGGAAAGGAAGCTACTCGTGGAAATAGCAGTTAATTAGGAGTCAGAAGACATGGGTTTTGGTCCAAGCTTGCCAAAAGTGTTTTGGCAAAAAAGTCACCTAATCCTGTTGTAATCATTCTGGGCTTAAGGTGTTTTTTTTCTTCTTCCTCTTCTTAATTTTTAAAATATGGGGTCGATTAGATCAGATGATCTCAGCCTGGGTCCATGAAAAACCAGGATAATCATGGATGAACTTTAGAAGATCTGGAAAACTTGAGATTTGTACACAAAATTTTGTGCCTCTGTGTGTGCCTATATACAACTGTTAACCAGGACCCCTGACTTTTTATCACATTATCAAATACGTTCTTTCCCCAACTCCCAGATTAAAAACTACTAGGATGCATGATCTCTCAGGACCTATATAGCAGCAGTAATTTGGGATTCTCAAAGAAGCATCATGGTGATTTAAAGCTACCTAACAGTTCTATGCAGTTCAGAAGTTGAGACAGGTAGTTGAGCTCCACAATGAAGCAAGACTGTGGTCATCCTGCAGCCCTCTGCAGGAGCTCACTCCTGAGATGTATCAAGATGCCGCTGAACGTGCTTGTGAGTGTCTGTGATTTTCAGACGTGCATGGGCACATGGCGTTCTTCCTTGTCAACCCATCATCTTCCCAACCTGCTCTCCACACAGTGGCCAAAGCTGCAGAGCAGCGCTGATAGGAAGGCTGAGGGGAGTGTGGTAGAGAAAGCAAAAGAAGATGAGGTGAATGAGAAGGTCCAGGGAAATGAGCAGCTTGTACTGAATTTACTTACTTCGAAAGTACTGTACTTGGCATTGCAGCATTAGACATCACTGAGTCTAGTGTTTAATCAAGCATTTTATACTCTTGTTGTGAATTCTCTTTCTAAGGATTAAGTATTACATGCTCTCCCCATTTTTCCAATTGCACTGGAAATAATCCATCTCTAATGACGTAAGTTAAATTGCCTTTAAGGACAACACCAAAAATGTGAAGCAGTAATTTATTGAAGGGCAAAATTAGGCTTACACCATGGGACAATTAGCACTAATCCATGAAACTTGGATGCAAATTTGACCTAAGCCTCCATTCAAGTCAAACTGGCTTTCAATTATTTGAGGTGTTCCTTGGGTACTTTCCTGTTTACACATTGGCACAAAAGGCTTTGGCTATAGACCACAGAGTGAAGGAAAGAAAATGAGGCTTTAATTCTTGGTTTTCTCAGACAGAAGTCTCAGTGTGAGACTTTTAACTGAATAACTAGCATTTATTAAACACTTAATTTCTTCTAGGTATTCTTTTAAGTGCTTTGATTATATTATATATTTTAATTGTCACAACAATCTTATGAGGTCTTTTTTTAATATTCCCTATTTAGCAGATGGGAAAACAATAACCCACAAGTATTAAGCAAATTGTTCAAGGTCATAGAAATAATAAGTCGGGAAACTGGGAGTCAACTTTTGCCTGGTCTGCATTGCACCCATGTGAAAAAAAAAGTAAAAAGTATTACTATATTTTTATTGTAGAAAACACTGAGTTTTCCCCCAATTTGTATTGCCGAGAGTCTGAACAAATTGGTTTACTTGCTCACGAAAAGAAAAACTTATAAAAATCTTATTTTTCTTTTGTGAATCATTATCATTTTCCCCTAGTTATCACAATGTAATGGGGCTCTTTCAATCAATTTGAATTTTACTTTGAAGAAAATCATTGGACATTATACCACTCTGGAAATGCATCTGAAGATCTTTTTCCAAAAGACATGAATATAGCTTTACGGAAGGGCTCAGGAGAGACTCATACCAGTAGGGAAAAGGCCAGGGGGTGGATAAAAATGAAACAGGCTGCAGTTTATCAATGAAATATCAAGTTGCTTTGAGGGAGAGATGTGATGTATTGCGAATTATACATCCAATTATAGGCAATTAACTGTGCTAAGAGTAAGTTACCGATTAGTTTGTGCCTACCGCCCCCACTTCCTTACCGTGCTAAGTGTGATACAGAGAGAGTGAAATTACATTGAATTATAGATCACAGAAGTACATTTAACAGGTACATAGCCAAATCTGTAAAACTCTTTCTTTCTGCCCTACTAACAGAGATACTGGTGGAAAATTCATATTCTCTCTTAGAATATCGAGGAAAGGCCAATTTATCTTTGTTGCTATTGCTACTCTTTTCGAAGCAAGGAATAATTTCTGTTAATTTAACCACTGAGTTATAAAAGCCCTCCATCTATTTTAGATGAACTTATTCAGTATTATAAACTCACACATGCCATTCAGTAGATTATTCATTGAATGTTTGCTAGGAATTAGTGATTTAGTATTGAAAGATTTATTGAAGACTTCTGAGTATCATGGGAATTTTGGTTAAATGTACATTGATAACAGCATACCAGGATCACTGTGCTTGGTCTGTTTGGGTATTGAAAATGAAAGTTATTTCAAGAGCACCTTTTTCTCCTACTAAAAATAGAAGATATATATTTAAAAACAGAAGATATGTTTCAAAGAATAAAGAAGGCAAAAACCCTTTCCCAACTTGCAACTTCAGTATATTTTTACTCTAATGTTTCTTTTGGCAGACTCAGCTGGTTTTAGGAAATGCAAAAAGGTGGTAAGATGATAAAAAAAATCTGGTTAAATGGCCAGAGACAGGCAGGTTATTCCTCACTAAGCCCCGATCCTCTCAGGAATAGCCCTCTGGATTTATTTAGCCTAAATTTAAACAATGTTTAAATTCCTTTCTTTGGGAATCTCTTGAACTTCCCGGTGAAGGTTTGTTTTTCCATAAAAATTTGCTTCCCAACTATTTCTCTTCAATTTTTATTATAGATATAATAGATATTATATCATAAATATTAATATAAGAATTTTTTAATCCAACTCCTGTTAGGTTTACTCAGTGTCTTTGATACTTTGTATCATTTTGGCAAAAAATGAAAACAAACTTCAAAACACTTATACCCTTAGTCTGTTTGGATTGTATCTTTTGAAGGTATTCGTAGAAAGTCACGATGTTCCTCTTTCTTTATTATTTGAGCAAAGACATTTTTGATTTTAGAAACTGGGGTATAGTGGAGTTAGAATGAACCTTGAGTCAACAGTAGGTTGAGATTGTTGGAGAGATCACGCATAGCCGCTCCCTGGGTAAGTCAGACTTGGTTTACTGATCTAAAGGTTACAGAAGGAGGTTGCCACAGAGAGATCGGCTATATCTTCTGACATCAACTGAAGTGTAAGTTTCTGAGCTCTCTATAAAGGGTCTCATTGGTAGAACTGAGGATAGTAAATCTTCACAAGGGAAGTTACACAGAACTTTTGGAAGTCCCATTCTCCTCCCAGCCTAGTCCATAAAGCTGGAGACACACTGCATGTATTTGGTCTAGACAGGTAGGGGCATTACCTCCTCTGAGCCAGGAGGACCTCCTTCATCTTGGAGTTTTATAATGTAAAATATGACTACAGTGTGTGGTACGGTGCGGTACACTCAGGCATGAATGGGGCCCTCCTTTCTCATGCTCAGCTTCCTCAGGCTAACACAGCTTGTTCCCAGCACTTCCTTGGAAATGGTTTTCTTACCCTGATGCCTCTGGGAATCATGGTAACATGTGCTCAGACATGCCATAAGAAGGCACAAGTGATGCACACCAGAAATGGAGTGCTGTTCATGGTTGCCTTACCCCAGGTGGCAATTTATTAAGTTAAGTAAAACTCTAATTCAATTATGCACCAACATGGGGAAATCTTGACTTACTTCCTTTTCCTGTTGGAAAACTTAAGGAGTATTAAATGTTAATATTTTGAGGAAGTTCAAAACAGCTTTCCTTACCAATATCTTGCAACAATGGTGAGAGAAGACAAAAACCCTTTTCACACAGATGCTTGGGTGAGTAACAGAAGTTTGAGCAGATCCCTTGGCAAAGTATTTGCTAAACTGGGCTTTCCTTCTCTCTTAAATTATATGACTTTAAAAATTACAATCAAGTTGTATAATTGTTAGCAGAGTTCTATTAGGAAATCAAGTCCCATCTTTTCTTAGATAAGCTAAAGTGATTGCTCATCAAAATCATATCCAAACTTTAAAATGAGTTGAAACTTTGCCTCCACTCTAAAGTTTCCCTGGTTCTCTGCACTTCCAAACATGGCACTTCTACCTCTAGTGAGCAATTATTTTGGTCTCCTTGACTACTCTGTGAATTCCATGAGGACAAGGCAGGAAGCTACTTGAGTTCAGGGATTCTACTTTGTTCCCTTTTAATCCCTTCAAGGCCATGCACAGTGCTTGCCCCATATTGTTTCAATGAACTTTTGGTGTAGGAATTAGAATATATCCCCCCACACCCCCCCCTTTTTTTTTTTTTTGAGGCAGGGTCTCATTCTGTTGCCTGGGCTAGAGTGCTGTGGCATCATCATAGCTTATTGCAACCTCTAACTTCCAGTCTCATGTGATCCTCCTGTTTCACCCTTCTTTGCAGCTGGGACTACAGGCATGTGCCACCATGCCTAGCTAATGTTTCTACTTTTTTGTAGAGACGAGGTCTTTCTCTTGCTTAGGCTGGTCTTGCACTTCTAACCTCAAGCAATCCTCCCACTTCAGTCTGCCAAAGTGATGAGCCACTGTACCCAACTGGAGAATATCTTTAATTGGTAGAAATCCTCTCTCATTTAGGGGGAAACATCATGTTTGCACTGTGGAAAAATCACTCCAAATTCTATATATAAACTCTGCAGATGTAGGACTTGGGCGAGATCATGGGCCCATTAAAAATCTTTATCACAATTTCTTAACATTTTAGGTGTTCAGTTACAGTTCTCGCTGCTATTATTGTCCTTTCTCTCCACCGACTCACACAAAAATCTTGGGCTTTGAAATCCTTGAAGATATTTTATTATTTTATGTCAGGTTTTTCTGAACATACTTGGTTAGCATAGGTGCCTGACACAGTGTATTATTTGTGCTTATGGCTGTGGTTGAAAGAAACAATAAACAAACTATTGATAGTTATTTAAGATTAAAAAAACCTTTCATTTCTTGAAACACCTCTTTGGCATTTATTTTCACTGAGATTAATGCAATGTCTCATTCTTTGAAAGAGATGGTAAAATGGCTCAATTTATCCTCCTATTCAATTTATATGACTATCCATATTCATTATTATATGAATAATGACCATTGAAAGACAGAGACAGACTGATAAGAATATGAAATACAAGGCTTAGTGTAATAGGGAAGACCAAATTTTGGACATGTCACCTGGGGGTCAAAGAGGCTCATGAACCCTCCGTAGGAGGCTGTAATACAGGAAGGTGGGTGTGTGTGGTGGTAGTAGTGGGGACTGCCTGCTGTGCCTAGTCCTGCTCCGTGACTCCTGCCCACGGTCGGTGCAAGGTTGATGGGGGCTGTTGCATTACCACGGAGTGGCCTTGAAGCCTCTCCACTGACCCCTGACTTTTAACTCTCCTTTCACCTCTGACAGTACTCCTGAACAGCACAGGAGGCGGAGGGCTCTTGCATCTATCTGCCCTGTCAGTGAGGGGCCTTTAATCTGTTTTAGCATGAAAAATTCATTAAGAATGTGCTATTATTTCATCAGTGAAATCCTCAAATTTTAAATTGAATCCATAGGTCTGGTTTAGCAACCGCCGTGCAAGATGGAGGAAGCAAGCTGGGGCCAATCAACTGATGGCTTTCAACCATCTCATTCCGGGGGGCTTCCCTCCCACGGCCATGCCGACTCTGCCAACATACCAGCTGTCGGAGACCTCGTACCAGCCCACATCGATTCCACAAGGTATAGAGGAAGAGAGTCGAGGAGATTAAAATGTAACTTCCAATCGCTTTCTCTGGTGGATATTTTATACAAGTGAAATCCCTCTGCGATGCTGACATCGATGTTGTTTGTATGTTAATTATATTACATTGGGTTGTCCTGAATGTACCTGTCACATTTCAGAAACATAGTTTGTTCTAAGACATACCTGGATCTCTCTAGATAAACTGTGTTGTAATACAATACCACTGCAGTGTTTTGAAACAAAACAGCCTTCCTAAATAAACATGGGATTTGATTTGCTTTTGGTAAAATTTTACCTCTACATTTGTACTCTGGTTTGCAACTAACTGAAGTTCTATGATGGTTACTAACTGCAGCAGTAATAGAGAGAAGGTAAGCTTTGAGAAAGTCACTATTTGTTAGCATACAGAGCTGAATAGGATAATGTTAAGTTGGAAGATTAATTATTTGGGACCATGAAAGATAGCATTCCAGGCACTTGAAACTATACTATGACACTAATATTTAGGTGCTTTAGAAATATATTTGATAAGAAATTTGAGACTTGCCTTCCTTACCTTGGTTAATTCTCATATTGGTTAATTCTCACATTGAATGACATTCACTACCAAAATACACTTGTTAGCATTGTTAATGTGATTTCCGCATTTGTATTCTGGGTGAGTGTGCCATAGGCAGTATATACATAAGTTGTGTACTTTCAAATATGTGCAAAGATACATGTGACTGTATTTGTGATGAGTGAGTCTACACCTGCATGTTAAGAAATGCAGTTAGAAGTGGACATTTGATCTGACCGGTAGACACTACTGATGTCCTGGTGACTTGTGAACTTTTGCACTGAACTTTCTCTGCCGGCCTACAAAGAAACTTTATAGCTGACAGTCTTTTTCATTTCAGCCGTGTCGGATCCCAGCAGCACCGTTCACAGACCTCAACCGCTTCCTCCGAGCACTGTACACCAAAGCACTATTCCTCCGAACCCGGACAGCAGCTCTGCCTACTGCCTCCCCAGCACCAGGCATGGATTTTCCAGCTATACAGACAGCTTTGTGCCTCCATCGGGGCCCTCCAATCCCATGAACCCCGCCATTGGCAATGGCCTTTCACCTCAGGTCAGTCCCGTGTTTCTAGACAGACGATTTGCTGTATACCAGAACCAAATAGTCAATTCCCCGAGGCAGTGGTGTAATGAATTGCCAAATTTAAACCATAATGTATTCTTTATACAAGCCACATGATTTCAGTTTTCTGGTTTCCTTTCTCTTCACCCTTCCTTCTGGCTGCATCAAAAGTTGTAGCTTAGACTTAAAATTCAAGTGATTTTTGATGTAATCATGCAGACTTTGTGTTTAGACTTAGTTGTGAAGGTGTTTCTCATGTGTTGTCTTCTCCATCCTAGTTCTGGACTTTGGTTAAGAAACTCACAAACATGGGTGGGTTTTTTTTTTTTGTTTGGTTTCTTGTTTTAAATGCTATTTGGTCAGCTGATGGGGTTTTGAGCAAAAGCACTTCATAAAGAAACGCCAAAGCTTTGACAAAACACTTGGAGAGGAAGCAAACAAATCGTGTGGAGAGAGAACAAGTTGATGACTACGAACTCTGGAATAAATGAGTTATAAATGCACAAATTAAGAGAATTGCTGCTCTTTGGGAATATATAAATATTTGAATGTTGTAATTGTTTTTCTAATTTGCATTGGACTATGAGTTTTTCTTGGGAGATCATATTAATAAATTGCCTTGATAATTGCATGTCCCAGGGTTGGTTAAATTTCCTACATGTGGCATCTGTCTGAGGTTGATATTATTAGCAGTTGTTTAAATACAGATCACTTGATTTTATTAGAGAGTGTTTAGCCCAGGTGGTGAGGATAGCTGCCCACCAAATTTGGAGAAATGTCACAAAGGGGTTGCAATCTATAATTGCAATCAGGAATCTCTTCAGGGCTGAGAGTGAGAGTTTTAACAGCTTTATCTTTTCTCAACCCCCTTTTTCCTCTTGGTGGTTAGAAAAACAGAGAGAAGCTCAGAATGACACAAATGAAAAGTGAAAAGACAATTATCCTCAATTACACACTAATCACTGACTATCACCGCTGCCTAAGCACCAAGAGGGCATTCTAATAGGCAGAAAATGAGATTTTAATGGCACAAAGGGTGGCCAAAATAACGACTCATATATCTTTGCCTTCTTCGTTTTCTTCAACTTGTGGTGTCTGTCTTGACAGTGGAGTTCCTGGACTCTGCACAACGGTGATAACTCCGAGCAGCTGAAAAGTTCAAAGCCCTTGGAGTTGAAAAGAATGGATAGCAAAGGCAATGAAATAAACATTTCTGCCTAAAGGCAAAAGTTCATAAATCCCTTTTTGTAACAGTAAATGTAATTAAGTTTCATAGATTCCTATAGCATATCCTGGGATAAAAAAAATAAGAGGTGGCTTTAAACCTCAGCTGAAAAAATAACAACATGAAAACAATGAAAGTGCTTCCTACAGGACTTTAATACATTTCATTTCCAAGTGCTGGCATTTGTGAATGTCATTTTGCATGAAAATCATGGACTTACATTGATAGAGTCATCTTTAAAATGCCCAGATTCATAGTGTATAAACTTCTTCCACCATTCAGACACAACCTCAGAAGTAGTTATCTCTGCGATTTTTAACATTTAGTAATTTGGGGCCATAGAAAAGCTTTTAGAAGCATGATTTGGCTGACAGTTTTAATGAAAGTAAACTCCCACCCTAGCCGCTTCTATTAGGTGAGATCCAGGATTCTGTTGGATTTTTTTTAGTACCTTATCTTATTCAGTCATAATAACAGTAACACGAATCTGTGTCCTATAAGTGAAACTGCTAGTTTCTTACATTTTAAGTGTATTATCTTGTATGTTATGATGTGTACTATTTTGTATTATATAAGAATTACATACGTGGAATTGCTAGAACTTGATCTCCTAACTGTTAATGCTTGGCTTCAAGAAGCCTGGCTGATTCTAGAGTTGCTGGTAGGGTGAGAATGATTCCAACATCAAGCAATGGAAAATTCTACAGGCATTTTTTTCTTGCATTTCTTTACTGTATCTTGCATATTATGTTAATTCCTTACTTATTATATTGCAAATATCCAGGATATTTTGCATTTCTACCATATATTTCCACCTCAAACCACCACCAAGAACCCATGTTTTCTTAGTTCTTGTAGCAGCCCTAATGAGGAAGAAAAGAGACAAATTATACGAAGTTCCTTCTCCCATCCTCAGGCCGAGCTGGGGAACAAAAGACAATAAATGAATCGTATCTTGGCAAACATATTTATAAGACAATGGAGTAGGATTCAGATTAGGACTCAGATTTCTACAGCCTTTGGGATTTATCACTTTTCAGGAATGCCTCTATTTAAACAGGAGATGCCTACACTACTTTTGGTTGTCTGGCTTTATTAAAAATATTGTAAAGAAAAAATTGAAGCAAAGAGCCCACGTCTAGTAACCTGGTTTTCCTGTTAACTAATGAAGAGACTAAAAAAATGCTGGTGACCCTTTAGTCACTGTTTGTCATAAAGTGCTTATTAATATATTGGATCATATAAAGCTAACTAATGAAACTAATGGTATGATTACCATTTCTTCTCCTCCTCTCCACCTGCTCTTCTACCTCCTGTTCTTCTGTCTGGTCATTTAACATGCAGACAAATCAACTGAGGCCCCCAAAAGAGTGTCACCTACTGCTGGCCACAGGGCTGAGAGTGAGGAAATTCAGACTAGAATGTGGGATTTTTGCCTCCTAGTCTAGGCTCTTGTCCAGGATAGCACAGAGTTGAGTGAAGAAGAAACAGGTTTCATGACAAAACAGGGGCAGGGGATTTTAGTTATATTTTAAAATAATTTAGTAGAGACCAGTTCTGTAAACTTTTAGGTTTATACTAATTTACACTCTTTTTGCTAAGCTTAATTTCTATTAATTTTTTAATTTCTCTCAATAATAAAACCATTGAATGCTTATTATAGAAATATGGAAAAATTAAAAAAAATGTTTTTGGAATAGAAAAAATTCCCCCAGTGCAATCACTATTAATATTTTTGCATGTTGCTTTTTAACTTTTTTTGGATCTATGCCTCTTTTAGAAGCGAAATTGAGATAGTAGTATATACAACTTTGCATCTTGCCTTTTCTCTGCCTTTAGATGCCATCATAGGTCTTTTCCCATTTATGAATTTAAACTGAATTGGATATAAAGTTTTTTGAGTCATTATGATTAATTCATTATAGATATCCATAGTAGAAGTTATTTGACATGTTAGAAATATTTGTGCATTTTATTTTTTTTTTCTTAGTGTCATTGAAATTGATGTGTTATTTACCACCCAGACTTGGAAACCATAAGCTGGAATGTAACGTGAACCATTGTAGAATGGGCTTGCTAGTTTTTGTCAAGGAATTCATAATAGACATTGTAAGGATACCCAAATCGTTTCTCTGTGTGCGTGTGTGTGGATGGTAGTTGGTTTTTGTTTGGCATCTCTAATATCTCTCAAGCAAAGTTACTTTTAAAGCTTGGAATCAGAGTCATTTGCCAAATGTTGCATCATAGATGCTCTCAGCCTTTCCTCTGGGGAGGTCTCAGCTCCATGAGGGGCGGGTATGTAACAGCCTCAGGGAGGTCACACGTGTCCAGATGGTCAGAGAGTGTAGCAATAGATTGATGTGTATTTGTGACCGTCTACATCTCAGAATACAAACAAAAACCTTTAGAAACATTGGTGTTATTCTTCCTTGAGTTGCTGAAAGGGTCTATATGCATTACTTAATCGTTGACAAGTTTTCTTATTCTGAGGGAACCAGCAACTATATCTGGGGAACATTTCCACTTTCCTTACAAGAAAACTGAGGTCAAGGCAACTCAATCATCTAAATGATACAGTGAGTTACTGGCTCGGTTAAAAGCCAAACCCGTCTCTCTCCCAGTTGTTACTAACTCTTCTAAGAACACAAAAACAAGTTTCAGTGGCTCCTCTCCACTAGAGGAAGCATAATGTCCTGCATAGTTTTCCCTGGGCTTCCTCACTGATACTTGACCTGATTTTCCTGCAGGTGTGGTTGAATGGCGTCACCAGTGGAGGGCTTGACTTCACATGCCATCAGAGCCTGCATCTGTCAGGGAATGTGAGGCGAGATTCTTAGTGTGGGAGCAGCAGTGGGGGGAGGGATAGGTTAATGACACCAACAAAACACTGTCTGAGAAGAAAACCATTTAACTTACTCCAGCAAAGGCTTCCACTGCAGTAGCATTCTTCTGTTTTTTTTTTTTTAATTTTTAATTTTTATTTTTTAGAGACAGGATCTCCCTCTGTCACCCAGGCTGGAGTACAGTAGCACAATATTAGCTCACTGCAGCCTCAAACTTCTGGGCTCAAGTGATCCTCCTGCCTCAGCCTTCCAAGTTGCCGGGACTACAGGGGTATGTCACCATGCCTGGCTAAATGTTAAATTTTTTTTTTTTTTTTTGCAGAAATGGGCTCTTGCTATGTTGCTCAGGTTGGTCTCAAGCTCCTGGCCTCAAGCAATTCTCCTGCCTCTGTCTCCCAAAGTGCTGGGATTACGGGTGTGAGCCACTGCGCTCAGCCCCACAGCCTTCTCTTGAAAGAGTGTGCTCTCTTGGTGGGGGGACGATACAGAACATGGGGAAGTATGGACCATGTATTTCTCCTCCATCCCCAGACAGTATGTTACCAACACCTTCCTACATGTGCAGAAGGGAGAAGGAATACTGACTTGGAATATGGAATGCCAAGGAAATACTACCATATGCTCAAGATGTTAGACTAATTGACATTTGGCCCATGTTCTTCTAATTAACTTTTCTTTGCAAAGAAATACTACCCTCACTGCTCTTCCACCCCCAAGACACACATAGCCAACCCCCCCCAAACAAGACCAATTAAATTAACAAACTTTTATCATTTCATGCCCCACCCCCACCTTACTCTTCTACAAATTCCATGGTTCTTTGGTGACAGTTTCTAATAATTTCTTGAGTGAAATACAGTATCAGTGGGTTACGTGGTTTCTAGGAAGCTTTTCTATTGTTTTGTTTTATATAAAAATGGGCC